AAAATATGTCCATTTGTATTACAGTCTTTATCCGTTAGTCTGTTTTATGATTTGATTTCATGTTTTCATTGTTCCAAAGCAATTTTCCAGATTGAATCTTAAAAGGATTATAAACCACAAAAGTCATTTTAAATTCTGCATGGAGTTAATAAACCGACTGCAATTCTGTGCATTTGTCTTCTAAATTTTATAAAGAAATTTGTTGACATTTTCCCTTTCACTTGTTTCTTACAGTATATTTTGTCTAAAAATGTGTCAAACATTGATGTCTGTCTTATTTTATATATTTTAAAATATGCCAGCCAATCAGCATAATTTCAAATGTCAAATATGCTAGAGTTTTAACATTTTTTTCTGTATTAAAATACTATACCAAATTGGAATCATTTGCTGATGCAATAGAAATAAAGCTTAAGTTCAGAAAACAGACAGTGGCCTTTTTTTTTTTTCCTCCCCTGTCTTCTTCTGACACAAAGGATGGCTGAGTCTTTCTCTTCCACTCTAAAATGGAGCCACTGTTAGTAACATTGGGGAACTTACTTGGTCAGGCTTATTGGACACTTTTGGAAGATAGACTGTGTTTGAAATGGAAGGGGAAAGATAGGAAGTGACATGAGTCCTTCTATCTGGAGAAATAAGAGAAGGTGCAATAGTTCTTCAGCACACACGGAACATTTAAGCAAGTTGGCTAACAGGGACTCTAATTTTTCAAGCCTGAAAAGAAATGACTAGCCAGATTCTGGCAAAAATTTTTTTCTTCTTAATTCAAGCATAGGAGATGGTTCTTTCTTATATTATATTCAAGATCCTAGTGTCAGAGACTTCCTGTTGTTGTGAGCTGCCCTCGACTTAGATGACAAACCTATGCGCAGCTACATGCTGCAAGTTCAAAAAAACCAAACCAAACATGTTACCGTAGAGTTGATTTCAACTCATAGTGACCCTACAGGACAGAGTAGAACTGCCGCCTTGGTTTTTCAAGGAACAACTGGTGGATTAGAGCTGCTGACCTTTTGGTTAGCAACTGAGCTCTTAACCACTGCAAGACCAGGGCTCCGCTGCCCAATCTATTGTAATCCATAAGGTTTTCATTGGCTGATTTTTGGAAGTAGATTGTTGGACTTTCTTCCTAGTCCATCTTAGTCTGGAAGCACCACTGAGACCTGTACAGCATCATAGCAACACTCAAGGCCTCCACTGACAGACGGATGGTGGCTGTACATGAGGTATGTTGGCGGGGAATCAAACCCATGTCTCCCTCCTGTTGTTGTTGTTGTTAGGTGCTGTCGAGTTGGTTCCAACTCACAGCGACCCCATGTACAAGAGAATGAAACACTGCCTGGTCCTGCATCATCCTCACAATCATTGTTATGCTTAAGCCCATTGTTGCAGCCACTGTGTCAATCCATCTCGTTGAGGGTCTTCCTCTTTTTCACTGACCCTCTACTTTACCAAGCATGATGTTCTTCTCCAGGGAATATTCCCTCCTGATAACATGTCCAAAGTATGTGAGACGTAGTCTTGTCATCCTTGCTTCTGAGGAGCATTTTGGTCATACTTCTTCCAAGACAGATTTGTTCATTCTTTTGGTAGTCCATGGCATAGTCAATATTCTTTGCCAACACCACAAGTCAAATGCATCAATTCTTCGGTTTTCCTTATTCGTCATCCAGCTTTTCCATGTATATGAGGTGATTGAAAGAAAACACCATGGTTTGGGTCAGACGCACCTTAGTCTTCAAGGTGACATCTTTGCTTTTCAACACTTTAAAGAGGCCTTTTGCAGCTGATTTGCCCAATGCAATGTGTCTTTCGATTTCTTGACTACTGCTTCCATGGGTGTTGATTGTGGATCCAAGTACAATGAAATCTTTGACAACTTCAATCTTTTTTCCATTTATCATGATGTTGCTTACTGGTCCAGTTGTGAGGATTTTTGTTTTCTTTATGTTGAGGTGTAATCCATACTGAAGGCTGTGGTTTTTGATCTTCCTCAGTAAGTGCTTCAAGTCCTCTTCACTTCCAGCAAGCAAGGTTGTGTCATCTGCATATCGCAGGTTGTTAATGAGTCTTCCTCCAATTCTGATGCCCCGTTCTTCTTCATATAGTCCAGCTTCTTGGATTATTTGCTCAGCATACATGGCAGGAAAGTATTCTATCACTGAACCACCACAGCCCCCATGAAAGAGACTAGGCCCAGTATTTCTGCAGGATTCAGACACGTAGACAAGAGGGATGGGCTTTCCAGAAGGAATAGAAAAGCTTCATGAAAAAGAATTCGCTCCAAGGGAGTCAGAGTTGAGACGCACAGATTAACTCTAAAGACAGATTTTATGTACAATAGTGTGTGTACACCACCCAGCTTGTCCTCTGGTCTGTCCAACCCTGCCCCACCCCTTCCCATCCTCAGGATTTTTTCCTAAGCTTCAGGAGCACAAAACCCAGAGAGCACAAAGGGGCCCTACCTCTGGCCAGTGTCACAGAGGGGTACACAAATGGGGTGGGAGGAGTCTTATCCCCTTCAGTGAAGCAGGTATTGGGGAATGGTGGAGTATGAAATGGGAGTGGCTATGAGTTCAAAGTGGCAACAAACTATGTCTTTGCCGTGGCCTAAAGATCCATGTGGACAGTGTCAGAAGCAGAGGAGGCTCACAGAGCCGCTGTCTCATTTTAGTGTTATATGTTTACATTTCTTAACAAGTTGTCAGCTTGTTGACAGCAGATAACCAGTAAACTGACAACTTTCCAATCTGCATTCTGCAGTTCTGAAGCATGAGGAGTAGGTGGGCTTTAGGCATGTCCAGCCCATTATAGGTTTATGTTATACTCTATTATTACCCTGGGAAAAGAAGCCTACCAGGAACAATGTTAGTTTATTTGTGATTTTTTTGCCTTGTATTCAACCATTTGCTCAGAGGACAGCAATCAGCTTAGGCATAATATAGACCCCTGATTATTGATAATCATACAATATCTGCATATTAATATTTCTGCAGAGTTGGGGTTGGTAGAAAAGATCTCTCTATGAAGCAGTTAAAAATTTTCTGGGGTAAAACAGACTTGTGTTCTGTCCTGTGGTCTCCTCTTCTTTTTAACTTCTAATTATTTGATACCATTTTTTGGATGAACGAGCAAATCTCTCTTAAAAGAAGTACAGCCAGAATGGTTCTTGGAAGCAAGGATGGCAAGACTTCATCTCACATACTTTGGACATGTTATCCAGAGGGACCAGCTCCTGGAGAAGGACATCATGCTTGGTAAAGTAGAGGATCAGCGAAAAAGAGGAAGTCCATTAATGAGATGGTTTGACACAGTGGCTGCAACGATGGGCTCAAACACAGCAATGATTGTGAGGATGCGGCAGGACTGGGCAGTGTTTCATTCTGTTGTACATGGGGTCACTATGAGTGGGAACTGACTCAACGACACTTAACAACAACAACAATTTTTTGGATGGGTTGAATGAAGTCCATGTGGGAAGATGTGCTTCTCTGTGCTGGTACTGGGCACAGTTGTCAATTTCCAAACTGATACTTGTCCTCTGACATATGCTGGAAGTGGAGCATTCATCCATTCTTAGAGGAGGTTATTCCAAATGTCCCAGCCTCATTGGTGGCCATTGTTCTCATCAGTGCTAGTTATGGTATCCCAACAAAGCACAACAGATTGCACAACTGGAGAAGACTGTGTAGGGCATGGTTATTCAATAACTATTTTTACTTGGCAAAGAACCTTTATGAAATAGGCCAAAACCAGAACCTGTTTTGTACTTTGAAATTGAACCTACTGATAAACACCTTGTTTTTGTCAGATACTAATCCAGGGACTTCCGTTGGTATAAAAAAAAAAAAAAAAGTCAAAATTAAGAAAGTTGTAGAAGTAATCTTTTTTCTATGTTTCCATAAAAGATAATTACAATTTTTTCTAGAAATGTATGTAGTCAAAATTTTTGAGTTCACTACTCACTTTCTTATATTCTCACCCTACCCCATGTATGTTCACAACTCAAAGTCCTTCCCCTTTCTCTGCATGGCAAAACTAAGGGTACTGAAAAATCTTTGCATGTTCCCTGGTATGGATGGTACTCGTACAAAAAACACCCAAAAAACAAAAATACCCATTTCTGTTGAGTCAATTCCAACTCACAGTGACCTTACAGGACAGAGTAGAACTGCCCCATGGGGTTTCCAAGTAGCGGCTGGTGGGTTCAAACTGCTGACCTTTTGGTTAGCAGCAGAGCTCTTAACCACTGCACCACCAGGGCTCCAATATAGATGGTGAGTGGACAAAAAGTGAAGACTTGCTAATGATGTGTGATTTACTCTCAGTTGGTTTGTGCCTCCCTTCTCTCTTTCTCCATTGCCAAGCTCCCTGTGTGAAAGCTGACATCTGCCAACATCTGTGTCCCAAGTACTTTACTGGGAGCAGAGCCTCTGTGCAAGTGGGGAGACAGTGAAGGGAGTTGTTCCTGCTACAGTTGGACCCTCAGGAGAGCGTGTGGTTGATATCTGCTGCATGTCTAGGAGATCTGAGCTCACGTTGTGTTATAGATGGGAGTCAGGAGGAGCCAGTTCAACTAAAGTAAGAAAGTGACTTATTGCCAATTAGCGTTGGTCTCATTTCATTTAACATTTGAAAACAAGTTTGTGAATATTTTCCAGGAAGCAGAATCATGTACTACAAAGTTTCCATGGCAGAAACCACATAAATAGGTATCAGCTTGACTGTCCAGCTCCCAGATGCAGCATCATGTTCAGCCTTTTCCAAGGCTAGATAGCTCTCAAAAAAATAGCTTAGTAGTTGTTAGCTGCTGTCAAGTTGCCCCCAATGCAATTGGACCATTGTGATCCATCAACTTTTCATTGGCTGATTTTCGAAAGTAGATTGTGAGGTCTCTCTTCCTAGTCGATCTTAGTCTGGAAGAGCTCCACTGAAACCTGTTCAGCATCATAGCAACATACAAGCCTCCAGTGAGGGAGGGGTGGTGGATACGCATGAGGTGCATTGGCTGGGAATTGCACCCAGGTCTCCTGCATGACAGGTGGGAATTCTACCACTAAACCACCAATGCTCCCCAACTTAGTAGAGTGTAGCATTTTAGACCTAGGGTAGAAGAGAGCTCAAAGCTGGTTTGATCCTATCCTCTTGCTTTGCAGATGAGGAACTGAAATCCATAGAGGGGAGGTAACTTACCCAAGACTGTGTCAATAGTTAGCTCAGAACTCAGGTTACCTGTCTTTCCATCCAGCACACACAAATAGTACATCTTACGTACAACAACAGACTTATGTATAGATCAACCCTGCACAAATGTATTGAAACATTTGGGCCCCAGAATAGAATTGAGTCTTAGCCTGAGTTACCTAGAAAGCAGAGCCAGAGACAAAGGTTCACTTTATTAGGGAGTGTAATGCCAGGGAGCAGAAGTGAGTGATAAGGAGAGAAAAGGAAGGAAGGAGGAATTGCCAATACAAGGATGTTGTACCGAGTTGGCTATCACACAAGCATTTGGTTGCTCCATCCTGAGTCTGAGAAATTATGAGATGTGTCTCAGGACCATTCCACATTCATCAAAGGTTGGCTCCATGGATTCCCACAGATATCCCATACCGGTGTGTCATCAGAAGCGAGAATTAGGAGGCAAGAAGTTCAAAGCACAGGTCTAAAGTGAAGTACTGTCAGGCTGCACCTGTTTGAAGCTAATTGGAGCCCAAGAACAACTGGTCACTACAAGGTGGCCAGAATAAGAGACAGGGGAGGCTGAAAAGATAAGAGTTATGTGTAAGGGGAGTCTGATCAAATTGTCTTGGGCATTCCTTAGACTAAGTTCTCAACCCTTTGGTCTTCAAAACCTTTATATTTTTAGCTTAACTTTTAAATTTTTGTTCATAGAATATTATAAAACTAGTGATTCAGCAATATGATTTTTATCATTATATAAAGTAAAATGTGAAAGTTTCCACTGCTCTCTATTTTCCAATCCTACTTTCTAGAACAACCACCATTAACAGTTTGGTAGTTTTACTTTCCAGCTTTTTCCTAGAGTTATACAAATATATTACTATATTTGTGTGTGGACATATATGTATATGCAGATATATTCATATCTGTGTGTAAATATATATATGGATACATATGAAAACAGATCTATAAGTATACTACATGTATTTTTTTTTACAAAAATTTATATTATGCTATATACATGTGTTGAAGATTACCACATGCTTACCACACTGCCTAACACATACTGTTCAATAACTATCAGCTATTATTATTATATTGGTCTGTAATTTTTCTCCCTTTTAATATATACCCTTATACAAGAGGAGTATTTTCCCAGGTTATGATGTATAAATCTGTTTCATTTTATTATATGGATGTATCAGTATTTTTGTTAAGTAGTTTCCAGTTGATGGACATTTAGGTTATTTCTACAATTTTGGCCATTTCAAACAATATGCAATAAACATCCTTGAAGGTGTATCTTTCCATACTCGTGTATTATTTATGAAGGCTAGATTTCTAGAAGTGGAATTATTGAATATGTAATATTTTCATTTTAAAAAAACTATTTCTAAATATTTCTCTAGAATTATTTTACCAGTTTGTACTCCATCAACCGTGCATAGGAAGCTTTCCCCACAACTTTACCTCCACTGTATGATCAGTCGTTTATTTTTTTCTTTTCCCCCCAATCTGAAAGGTTAAAAAAAAAAGCAATTTACAAAACTACAGTGAGATACCATCTCACCCCAACAAGGCTAGCCTTACTACAAAAAATACAAAATAAATGCTAGAGAGGTTGTGGAGAGACTGGAACACTTATACACTGCTGGTGGGAATGTAAAATGGTACAAGCACTTTGGAAATCGATTTGGCACTTCCATAAAAGGCTAGAAATAGAAGTACCATACGATCCAGCTATCCCACTCTTTGGAATATATCCTAGAGAAATAAGAGCCGTCACACGAATAGATATATGCACACCCATGTTTGTTGCAGCACTGTTCACAATAGCAAAAAGATGGAAACAACCTAGATGTCCATCAATGGATGAATGGATAAACAACTTATGGTATATCCACACAATGGAACATTACGCAAGGATAAAGAACAATGATGAAGCCGTGACACATCATATAACATGGTGAAAGCTGGAACTTATTATGCTGAGTGAATTTAGTCAGTCACAGAAGGACAAATATTGTATAAGACCACTATTATAAGAACTCAAGAAAAAGTTTAAACACAGAAGAAAACATTCTTTGATGGTTACGGGTGTGGGGAGAGAGGGTGAAGGTTATTCACTAACTAGATAGTAGATAAGAGTCATCTTAGGCGAAGGGAAGGACCGCACACACTACAGGGGAAGTCAGCACAACTGGACTGAACCAAAGCTAAGAAGTTTCCTGAATACAATCAAATACTTTGAGGAGACAGAGTAGCAGGGGTAGGGCCTGGGGACCATGCTTTCAGGGGACATCTAGGTCAATTGGCATAACAAAGCTTATTAAGAAAATGTTCTGCATCCTACTTTGGTGAGTGGCATCTGGGGTCTTAAAAGCTTGCAAGCGGCCGTCTAAGATGCATCAATTGGTCCCAACCACCTGGAGTAAAGGAGAATGAAAACACCAAAGACACAAGGAAAGTATTAGCCCAAGAGACAGAAACGGCCACATAAACCAGAAATTTCATCAGCCTGAGACCAGAAGAACTAGATGGTGCCTGGCTACCATCAACGACTGCCTTGACAGGGAACACTACAGAGAGTCTCTGATGGAGCAGGAGAAAGATGGGGTGCAAAACTCAAATTCTAGTAAGAAGACCAGACTTAATGGTCTGACTGAGACTGGAGGTACCCCAGAAAGCATGACCCCTGGACTCTCTATCGGCCCAGAACTGAAACAATTTCCGAGGCCAACTCTTCAGACAGGGATTGGACTGGACTGTAGGACATAAAGTGATACTTGTGAAGAGTGTGCCTCTTAGTCAAGTAGACACAAGAGACCAAAGGGGCAGCTTCTGTCCAGAGGTGAGATGGGAAGGCAGAGAGGGTGAGTTGCTGGTTGAATGGCCGTAAGGAATCAGGGACGGAAAGGAGGAGTGTGCTGTCACAGAATGGGGCGAGCAATTAGGGTCACATAACAATGTATGTATAAAACTTTGTATGGGAGACTAACTTGAAATGTGAACTTCATTTAACTACAACAATAAAAAATATATAAATAAATAAATTATTTATTATTGTTTTAATTTGTATTTCTGTTATTATTATTGAGATTGAGCCTCTTTCCATGTGTTTGCAACTATTTTCATTTTTCTGTGTATTTCCTACTATGTCCTTTGCTTATTTTTCTATTGGTTGCCTTTTCTTGTGATTTGTAGAATTTTTTAATTTATTCAATAAATATTTATTGAGTGTCTATATGTGCCGTGGAGCCCTGTGGTTAAGAGTTTGGCTGCTAACCAAAATGTCAGCAGTTCAAATCTACCAACCACTCCTTGGAAACCCTATGGGGCAGTTCTACTCTGTCCTATGGAGTTGTTATGAGTAGGAATTGACTTGATGGCAAGGGAGTTTGGTTTTTTGTTTTGGTATATGTGCCAGTTGTCCTTGCACTGAGGATGTAACAGTGAATGATGGCTACCATTTACTGAGCATTTGCTATAAACCAGGGACAATACTAAGTGCTAAGCAATTCTCACAGAAACCCTATGAGCTGAGTACTGTTACTATCCTCAGTAGGCAGTTAAACTGAGATTCAGCGTGGCCGAGCAACTTGCTCAATGCCATACTTATATGACAAACATACTTGTACAACAGCTTATAAATGGCAGAGCCAAAAGTTCAACCCAGACTTGTTTAACACTTTCTGTGACACTAGAAATTCTGGGTGAGGATAGATTCAAGATTTTAACTACAGGGACAGGGGCCTGGAAGACAAGGTTCCCTGCAGCAACTGCTCAATTTGAAATTAATTCTGACAACTAGAAGGGAGAAATGCTGAGGATAGTCAATCAGGACATTAACTCTTTGTCACAAGTATTGCAAATGTATCCTCCTATTTCTGCTGCTTGAGTTTTAGCTTTGTTTTTGGAGCTTTTTTGGTAAAGATGCAAAAAAAAATTATGTCATCATAGGTGTCATATATTTTACTTTATGGTTTCTAGGTTCTGCTTCTTGCTTAGAAAGGCACTTCTCAAGTCTAGATTATGAAAATATTAGCTTATATTTCATCTTCATACTCTATAGCTTTTATTTTTTACATTTGGATTTTTAATTCTTAGGGCATTTATTTTTAGGTTGACTCATTTTCTGCCTTTATTCCTTGTAGTTAAGGAGACTACTTAAAGGATTTCAGGTTGGAAGAGGGATATAGAAAGAAAGTCGTTGATAAAAAGTCTATTTCAAAGAATTTTGATATTTCAGTAGCTTTTGAGAGGATTTTAATGTGTCTTTTTGCACTTTGGCACACTATTAAGTACATATAGAAAGCTCTAACCATCAGCAACAGGTTGATTTCTTCTTAGGCCGGTATGTTAGAGGAGAAAGAAATTGAACTTTTGAATCACACAACCTGAGTTCAGATCTTGGCTCTATGACTTATCAGCTGAATGACTCTTAGTAATTACTTAATGTCTTCATACCTCAGATTCCTTGCCTGCAAAGACAGGGAAAATTTCCAGTATATATGATGAAGATTAATTAACATAATGTGGAAAAAAAGCCAGGTAAATACTTGGCCAAAAAGAGATCCTCAATAAATATTGTTGTTGTTAGTTGGCACTGATTTGATTCGGACTCTTGGTGACCCCATGTATGTAGAGCAGAACTGCTCCGTAGGGTTTTCAAGGCTGTGACCTTTCAGAAGCAGATCACCAGGCATGTCTTCTGAAGCATCTCTGGGTAGGCTGGAACTGCCAACTTTGGCTAGTAGTCAAGTGCTTAACAGTTTGCACAACCCAGGTTACCTTCAATAAATATTAGTTTTGGTTATTTTTTACCAAATTTGTTGTTATGTTGCATTTAATCCAAGAAATTATTGTCTCCTAATCTGCCAGATGTTATTG